TTCTTCTCAAAAGATAAGTTCAATTCTTCGGACAGCAACCAAGAGGAGACCTGATTAAACGTGACAGTGGCAATATTGGTGCGAATATTTTGCTTGAGGGAGGCATAGTCAGCCGGTAGACCACGAAGAACACAGAGAATAACATCTTGTTCAGAAATTTCTTCATGAGCCAGTTTGAGAGACGACACAATCGTGAGAACAGTGTCCAAATAGGATTGCATCGAATCGGTCCCTTTTGTAACACCATGTAATCGCTCCTTCAGTTGAAAAATATGAGTTCGGGAAAGAGAATTGTACCGTTGTTCTAGATGATTCCAGATTGCAGCCGAGGTGGGAAGAGCATGAATATGTGTTTGAACTGTGGGTGAGACAATAGCAAGGAGACAGGCCCGAATCTGAGCATCAATAATATTCCAGGATTCATAGGCCGGATTTGGTTTCATGACCGGCGGTTGATCCTTGCCGGGTGCCGCAGCCTTTTCATCAAGGACAAAAGACGGAGGAGACGACTCAGACCCATCCACGTAGCCGAGAAGACGATGAGCGAGGAAATTTGCACGGACGGTAGCCGACCAAGAGGGATAATTGGTGTCATCAAGCTTGACCGGGGTTAGAGATTGGAGATTCCGGACAAACAACTTGAGACCCGTAGGAAGACGATCCATAGGATCAGACGAGGTAGAAGCCATGGCTGTGCACGGCGTGATCGGCGGTAGAGAGATCGGCTCTGCCGATTTTTTTTTCGGTGATTAGCGCAGGAAAGGAAGAGAGAGGTTAGGATCTTTGTGCTCTGATACCATGTTGATTTAGTAATCCAACTCAACTGAATAATTGTATACATGGGCGTTTATATAGGTGAGAATCCCTACATGAATTAGGATTCACCAAATATGGAAACTAACATAAATAACAATCCTACCATAACTACACTTCTTGCCATATATGCCTAACACTCTAATAGTACTAATGTTGGTTTCTTGCATGGCCGGCCCACAACATATGGACTGTTTCAATTCTATTGGACCTAATATTTTTAGACATTTTTGCATTATGTTTTTTAAATTACTCCGTAATTAATTAATTTTAAATCAAAACTAACAATGATTTTAAGAATATAAGTATTCCACATAAGACGAAATAAGTCACTAAACATGCTTATCACGAGGTAGATAGGATTTGTTTGATTTTTTTCTTTTTCTTTTTTATCAATAGGTCATACATCTAAGATTCATTTTAATGTATATCCATGAAAATATTTTTTTCATCTTCCATTTATTATTTTATGCTAGTGTGCATAATAATAATAATAATTCAATGCTAGTGGAAACATTAGACAATATGAGAATCAAACTTCCACTAAATCAAATTAATGAATGCCCCAAATTATATACGGCTGAGTTCACTGGATTTCAGTGGTCATGGAAGCCACTACCCCTACGATATTTCGTTCGTAAAATTGATGATTCTACCCCCCTAACCACCCCAGTAAACCCTCCTACCCAGTCCTGACTCCAACTCATTCCCTACCTACGTCAATTGCACCCTGCAAGTATAGTTGACTTTAAATTCTAAAGTTTTGACCTTAAACTCAACTAAAATTGCGGGAAGCAATTGACGTAGGTGGGGGATGAGTTGGGGTCAGAACTAGATAGAGGGGTTTATCAGGGGTTAGCAGTTGTAGGAATCATCAATTTTAGAAACGGAGCATCGTAGGTGTCTGAATTGGGACAGTGGCTTTCGTGGCCACTGAAACCCAGTTGCCACGGAATCGGTCCGAATTATATATACACTTGAAGAACAATATAATAAATTTACAAATAAATATAGATCCGCCGCCAACCAATTTACTGGGTCAAGATGCACCGGGCAGGCGACTCATCTAAGGTCACCAACCTTAGTAGCAGACAGTGAATTGTGTATACTCCGGGTGCAACCCCATCCAAATTTGCATCCTCCAATGGTATTATATCCTACAAAAAAAAAATTATACCATTACATAATAAAATTGTCATAACACACACACACACACCCTCTCACTTTTATTTAAAATGTGTATTGTTCTATGTCTTAAATACCTTAGTGTTCAAGAAAGTCTGGTGGACCCCTGTTAGCTCGGTCTGTATTCCAACAGCAATAGACAAGTAATCAATGCCTGCAATTTCACAGCTAGCACACGTACATTTAGAGGCCATGAAAGAGATTGAAATTGTGGTTGTCATTAAAATAACGATGAACATTAATGAAGCGAAGGTATATTAATGCCGGGATAAACCTAAAATTATCAAAAGTACATTTTGGTATATACGGAGTATAAATTAATAATCAATTAATTAGATGCTCGTTAGAAAAATTAGAAAAGACGATGTTATATGACAAATCGATATGTTTGAGTACTTGGTACTATTTATATTTATTATTATTATTATTATTCGTTCTGATTATGTAGAACACTTACCAACGAGTTTGATGTCGGTGTTGTTGACTAAATATTGAGCACCGTCCGTGGTGAAACCAGTGTAATTACTTGCAAACGATGATTGGTACATTAATTTTCTATCAGTGTTAAGCGTTTTGAAGAGAACCCGTTTCACTCCTCTGGGTATATCCAATTCTTTCATCACCTCGGCTATAGGCATGATGTCGCAGGATCATTAGATTTCATTGTAACAAAAAGTAATTGATAAAGAGATGGCAAGTCATGTCTAGTAAAAACTCATAGATCCTTCGAGATCAAATAAAAAATTGCAAAGCCTTCAAAGTCCAAATGAACCCGGTGTGATACAAAAACAACTCAAATTTAATAAGGAATAACAATCAAACAAAAGATGATTTGGTGTGCATATATACCAGTAATATTTTTGTCTCGAGGAGTGTCAACAACTAAACAAGGACCTGCCCATGCCAAAAGACAACAAATATTAAGTCATATATTCAAATATATATATGGAGTACTTATTAAAAGGTTCATTCATTCATTCATATTAGCTTGTAGCAATTACCATTTAGGGTGCGGAGATCGAGAGAGTTGACGTCTAAGCCTTCATCCATGAGGGTTTGGTTGAAGTGGCCAGGGGCGTCAACGTGGGTGCCAGAGTGGGTGGTAAGGGTGAAGGCATTGAGGTTAGCGAAAGCCCCATTTTTTATGCTTGACACAGATCTAAAGAATGGTTGAAGGCCGTGGGGGCCACCGTAGAACGTGGGCATTCCCTCCACATACTTATGGCTGATGTCGAATATGGCCTTTTTTTGGGTGGCCCACTCTTCTTGTTGGATGAAGTTCAGGATGTCGGGCGTGACCACTGATGCGCACGCGGTAGTTGCCACCGCTGCCACCATCAGCACCACTGCCAAACACCACGCACCCTTCATATTGGGGAGTTTAAGGTATATACTCCCACCTAATTTTATTTGTATATTTATGGTTATATATTGGGGGCTTGATTTGCTATGGATGGGATTGGAGGGGTTCAAATAGAGATTCTTGTTGTGATGATCATCATTTGTTCTTTGGTTGATGGGTCGTGTTTCTAGGAGTGTTTTTTGTTGTTGTGTTATATGGTTAATGGTTTTTTTTCCACTCCTTTGTTTGTGTTGAAGATATAATGCATCCATTCATATTATAACCTCATTTAATGATACAAAATAACCTTAAAAAAGCTAAAGTTAGACGCGGACATCAGATAACGTTTTCTAAATACTCAAACCAAAGAGGATTTAAACAAACACTTGATGCGCATTTCTTGAGAAATTACAACAATAACAACAACAACAACAACATACCAACAACCCATCATTATTTCTTTGGGGTGGGGGTGGGGGTGCAAGCATACCTTATATATACTCGAAAGTAGAAATGTCATTTCTCGGGAAATCAAAGACCAGAAATGGGCAAGAGACAAACAAGTATTGGTTTTAGTTGATGAGGATGCATCTAATGGGAGACCCCTCAGCACCCACCAACCTCAAGGGCAAGCAATGAACTGTGTACATCCCAAGCTCAATCCCTTCCAGCTTCAGCCCTTCTACCAGTATTATTTCCTGTCAATAGTGACACCATTTTTGTCCACAATAATGTTTAACAATCGAATAAAATATGGGTACTTCGTTCCATTTTTTCAAGAAACCTAAGGAAATTCCCGATAAACTGCTTACCCGGTTTTTATGAAAAACTAAATGGGAAGTTATCAAGTCATCATATGCCGCAACAGATAAGTAATCTATTCCTGCAATTTCACGATCGACACAAGTATTTCCTTTTAGTAATAATAATATTAATAACTAAAAAAAATAAATGCTGACTAATAATAAAAAGATACTGGAATATAAATAAATATACTGACCGACGAGTTTAATGTCGGTGTTGTCCACAAGCCATTGGGCTCCATCCTTCATGAATCCCACAAAGCTTGTGTCAAATCCCTTCTTCTTCATAAGATGCCTGAATACATACATGTTCTTGTTTCGTAATGATCTATTTCGATCGATCCAATGCATGAAATGGATGTTCCATAATGGAATGCCATCTATGAAATACCTGTCCGTGTTTAGTGTTCTAAAAAGCACTCTCTTCACTCCCTTTGGTATATTTAGCCCCTCCATCACTTCAGCTATATGAAGAAAGAAAGAAAGAAAAAAAGGAATGCACACCGGCCGTAATAAGGAGGTTTATTTGTTCATATATATAGTCATATTCCTCATACAATACAAGAAATGATCTTGAAGAATTTTGGTAGTAATTGCAGATTTACATAAACACATACAAGAATATTCACGAGAATTAGAACATACATGTTATGTTCTTGTCTCTTGGAACATCAACTACCAGTGCAAGTCCTGCCAAGACATCATCAATAAATCACCAAACCTTAACTCACTTGGAAGCAACACAATAAAAACTTCTTTTGAACTCATTTTCACATGTTATTTTCTACTATGGAGTGGGTTTCTACTGAGTTGAACTTAATTGACCTCAACTCAACTAAAAGTTAGTTAATGGCCTCGTTTGGGAATAGCGTTTTGGATAAAAATTAAATGGTGTAGATTAATTCTGAAAACGCTAACGCTAAAGACTACTGTTGGATAGTCTTTTCAACGCTAACCTCTAACGTTGTTGCCAAACGGGGTCAATGTTAACTAATGACATGAAGATTGAAAAGAACAAACTTTTAGTACTTTTCAGTTTATTCCAGTTCTCAAATAATCAAATACTCAATAGCAATTACAACAACAAAATCAAGAAAAGAATTATACCCAAAACACACAACCAATTGCACACACAATCACATCTTAGGTCAGAAGGCAAAATCAAAACTGAGTTGTTCGACAGTCAATTATTACTTCAGTAAATTTCATCATTCCTGAGAAATTAAAACAGGAAATCTCAATGGATTTAGAAGGTGAAATGGTTAGGTACCATTGAGGATTCTGAGGTCAAGAGAATCAACATCAAACCCTTGATCGAAGTAATCATCGTACATGTGTCCGGGCGCATCGACGTGAGTGCCGGCGTGAACACACAGCCGCAGCTCCGACAAGTTTGAAGGAAAAGAATAGGGAATAATAGTATGCTGTCATTTTGAGATAGAATGCAACTGCAAAATTAATACTACTCACGAACTAAGATGAAAAACTGTGTATTTGATCTGCTGAATTTTTTTCACAGAAACAATGAAATCAAACGGCCATATATATAGGTCACCTTACAACCAAGAGAAGCTAGAAAATAGGCCTAATAACAAACCACTAACATATCCTGTGATAGACCATAAAAATAGGATCACTAACTAACAGGCCAGTAAGCAATACTCTTAACAGCCCTGAAGACTAGGACAATTATTCAAGAATAATTCAAATACTCTAACTTATAATTAAAAATCAGAATTAATAAATAATTAACCAAATTATTCAACATCCCCCCTTAATTCTGATAAGGGATGGTCTTCACTCCAAGCATGTCCCTCAACTTGGCAAATGCATCAAGCTTCAATGGCTTGGTAAAGATGTCTGCAATTTGATCTTCAGATCTGCAGTATTCCAGCTTGATTGTATTCTTCCCCACTTGGTTTCTTAGGAAGTGATAACGAATATCAATATGCTTGCTTCTTCCATGAAAAACTGGATTTTTAGCCAAATTAATTGCTGAAATATTATCAATCTTAATTGTAATTGGCCCTTCAATATCAAAACCAATTTGACTCATAATATTGCTAAGCCAAATTGCTTGACACGCACTTGATGCTGCTGCTACATACTCAGCTTCACACGTGGACAATGCAACAATGGGCTGTTTCTTTGATGACCATGAGAAAACAGTCTTTCCGAGCATAAAACAATGACCACTTGTGCTTTTCCTTTCGTCTAAATCTCCACCCCAATCGCTGTCTGAGTATCCAACAATCTCAATCTCCTTGGATGATGAGTAAAATAGACCAAAATCTATAGTACCTTTGATGTAGCGCATAATTCTCTTTACTGTTTGTAAATGGATATGTCGAGGTGACTCCATATATCGGCTAATCAGTCCCACAACATAAGAGATATCAGGTCTAGTACATGTGAGGTACCTTAGGCTTCCAACAATCTGCTTGAAGTATGTTGGATCAACTGTTCGCTCGTCACCATCCCTGGTAAGTTTAAGTCCGACTTCAACTGGGGTCTTAACCGGGTTTGAATCTTCCATTTGAAACTTCTTCAAAAATTCAGCAGCGTACTTCTTTTGGTGAATGAAGATTCCTCCATCTCCCTGGATAACCTCAATGCCCAAAAAATAGGACATAAGACCAAGATCAGTCATCTCGAATTCCTTCATCATAATATGCTTGAAATCACTGACCATCTTGTGATTATTTCCTGTGAAAATTACATCATCAACATAAAGACACAAGATTAGCAAGTCCCCATAATCATTGGCCTTCACATATAGGCCATGGTCTGATGGACATTTTTGAAATCCAGTGTCATGAAGAAACGAATCAATCCTTTTGTTCCAAGCTCTTGGTGCTTGCTTAAGGCCATATAATGCCTTATTAAGTCTGTACACTTTCTTCTCCTTTTCAGGTTGTATGAAACCCGGTGGCTGCTTTACATAAACCTCTTCATCAAGTGGGCCATTAAGAAATGCCGACTTGACATCCATCTGGTGAATTTTCCATTGCTTTTGTGCAGCCAAAGCAATTATCAATCTCACAGTTTCCATTCGAGCCACTGGAGAAAATATTTCTTCATAATCATATCCTTCTCTTTGCTCAAATCCCTTCGCCACTAGCCTTGCTTTGTATTTGTCAACCTCACCATTTGCCTTCACCTTGATCTTGTAGACCCATTTAACATCAATGGCTTCGTGTCCTTTTGGAAGGTCAGTAAGCTGACATGTGTTGTTTTTCTCAATCGCCATCAATTCTTCATTCATAGCCTCTTGCCATTTTGGATTTTGAATGGCATCATCGAGTCCCACAGGTTCCGAATCTGCAAGGAAAGCAAAGTGGACTAATTCTCCATCATCATCGATCTCATTGTCGAGATTTACCTCACAATCTTGAAGACGTGCAGGTTGTCGGTGTTCCCTTCTTGGTCTTTCCGTAGTAGTTGCAGAAGGGGCTACAACATTGGGTTGGACTGCTGGTGTTTCAAGATTAACTCCATCTTCTGCATCGTCATTCATAACGTGAACATAACACGTTTTGGAATCCATGTCGCCTGATATATTCCATTCCCATGCCTCATCTTCTGCGAATGTAACATCACGGCTGACTATCACCTTCTTTGTCATTGGATTGTACAGTTTGTACCCCCCTTGCTTATATCCAATGAAAATGGTCTTAACAGCCCTATCATCCAACTTCGTTCTTGTTGCAACTGGAACGTGAGCGTAAGCTACTGATCCAAATACCTTCAGGTGTTGCACATTGGGTTTGAATCCTCTCCATGCCTCAATAGGAGTAGTGTTAGGAACACTCCTGGTGGGTGATCTGTTCAATATATATACTGCACATGATACAGCTTCAGCCCAAAAATAATTTGGCATACCTTTTGCTTTTAGCGTACTCCTTGCCATATCAAGAATTGTTCTGTTCTTTCTCTCTGCCACTCCGTTGTGTTGAGGAGTGTAAGGAAAAGTAATATTATGCTGCAACCCGAGTTCTTCGCAATGACTCTTGAAATCATTGGATTTGTACTCACCTCCTCCATCACTATGTATCATCTTGATTAATTTGCCACTTTGTCTTTCAACAAATGCTTTAAATGTTTTAAAGCACTGGAACACCTCATCTTTGCCCTTCAAGAGATAAATCCAAGTTTTTCTTGAGAAATCATCAATAAAGGTTAGAAAGTATCTGTTACCTCCAATTGATGGTATGTTCATCGGGCCACAAACATCTGTGTGAACTAGCTCCAATGGTAGTTTTGCACGCCACGGCTCCTTAACAAAAGGTAATCTGTGATTCTTTCCAAGAATGCAAGCCTCACATAATTGATCAGGATGATGAATATAGGGTAAACCATTCACTAAATTGTGTTTGGCAAGATTTTCCAGACTTTGAAAATTCAGGTGCCCAAAACGTAAATGCCACAACCATGATTCATCATTCACCGTTGCACTCAAGCACTTGAATTCGCCTCTATTAAAGTCTACTGGAAACATACGATTTTTTGATAAAAAGGTTTTGAGAATCATCTTACCTTGTTTATCAAAAATTGAAAACTGATTTCCAGAGATGTGCATCACATAGCCTTTCTCAGCCAACTGTCCCATACTCAACAAATTACTTTTCATATCAGGCACATAGAAAACATTTGAGATGTACCTATGATCGCCATTCTTCAATGTGATAAGGATCCGTCCATTTCCAGTCACCGGAACGAACCTTCCATCGCCAAATTTCACCCTCGTGCGAAACGATTCATCAAGATCTACAAACAACTCTTTATGACCACACATGTGATTCGTGCAACCGGTATCCAAATACCAAGTCTGGTAGTTTGGATTTTCATTTGATGTTGATACCATCAATAATGCATGATCTCCTTCGTCTTGTTCGTGATTTCAGTCTTCTTGAGCACAATTGGCAGCTTGATTGTCACCTCCTGATCTGCACTCGTTTGCATAATGACCACGTTTGTGGCAGGTATAACACTCCACATTTGATCTTCCATTCATGTTCCTACGTCCGCGACCACGTCCTCTTTGTTGCCAAGAGGAATTTGGAGTGGAGTTCTGATTGGAACCAAAGTTGTTATGCTCAGCACCTCCATAATTCTGACCACCACGACCTTTGCTGAAATAGCTGCCACCACGTCCCCGTCCTCTGCCTCGTGAGCTACTGTGCTTGTGATGAGGATTACCAATTGAGGCTTGTGCTTGTAAAGCCTGTTCAATTGGTTTTTCAATCTTACTGTCATTCATCCGTTGTTCATGCGCTCGTAGGGAACTAGACAGCAACCGTACTGTCATTGTTGACAGGTCATTAGCTTCTTCAATTACAGCAACAACATGTTCAAATCTAGGAGTTAAAGACCTCAAAATCTTCTCCACCTTTGTCTTCTCTGACTGTGTTTCACCGTTGATCTTCATCTGGTTTGTCAGTGATAAAATCCTATTGATGTAGGCATCAACAGTTTCTGTGGTATCCATCTGCAGCAGCTCATATTGGCGTCTTAGTGTTTGAAGACGCATCCTCTTGATTTTGTCATCACCTTTATAGGAGGCAGACAAAATGTTCCAAGCCTCGTTTGCAGTTGTTGCTCCTTCGATCTTCTCAAATATCTCGTCATTCATCCCTTGGTGGATGAAATANCAACAACATGTTCAAATCTAGGAGTTAAAGACCTCAAAATCTTCTCCACCTTTGTCTTCTCTGACTGTGTTTCACCGTTGATCTTCATCTGGTTTGTCAGTGATAGAATCCTATTGATGTAGGCATCAACAGTTTCTGTGGTATCCATCTGCAGCAGCTCATATTGGCGTCTTAGTGTTTGAAGACGCATCCTCTTGATTTTGTCATCACCTTTATAGGAGGCAGACAAAATGTTCCAAGCCTCGTTTGCAGTTGTTGCTCCTTCGATCTTCTCAAATATCTCGTCATTCATCCCTTGGTGGATGAAATATAACGCCTTCTTGTCCTTCTTCTTCTGTTCGCGATGCGCTACTCGTTGCGCCTCGGTCGCATTATCAGCTAACGCCGACACCCCATTTTCCACAACATCCCATGAGTCATGGTAATCAAACAGAACTTTCATCTGCACACACCACCGGTTATAATTCTTTCCATCAAGGACAGGAACTGATAATTGGATAGTGTTGTTCATGATAACAGACCGTATGGCTCTGATACCGACTGAAGGAAAAGAATAGGGAATAATAGTATGCTGTGATTTTGAGATAGAATGCAACTGCAAAATTAATACTACTCAGGAACTAAGATGAAAAACTGTGTATTTGATCTGTTGAATTTTTTTTCACAGAAACAATGAAATCAAACGGCCATATATATAGGTCACCTTACAACCAACGGAAGCTAGAAAATAGGCCTAATAACAAACCACTAACATATCCTGTGATAGACCATAAAAATAGGATCACTAACTAACAGGCCAGTAAGCAATACTCTTAACAGCCCTGAAGACTAGGACAATTATTCAAGAATAATTCAAACACTCTAACTTATAATTAAAAATCAGAATTAATAAATAATTAACCAAATTATTCAACGTAATCGGAGCCGTTCTTCATGCTCATCAGCGACTCAGGAATTTGCCGATGCCGGCGTCGGAGTTCCCGGAAGGCGTGGTCGGAGTGTAGGGATGAGTGATGTCGAATATCTCTCCGCCTCCGTACACTTTCCTTCTATGGGGAGGCGGATGAGTCGGGTTGCTGCTGGATCCGAGACAAGAACCCGGTTCGTCGCCGTACCCGGATGGATATGCGGCTTCATCGGAAGCTGACGTGGCAAGAAGAGATAGCAGGATGAGTACTGCTCCTGGTAGATTGCCTAAAGCTCCCATCTTTCTTTCCAAAGAAGGAAGAAGATTCCACTCTAGCAAATTCTTTTTCCTTTTTTTTCTATTTAAACACTTTTTTTTCTATTTAAACACAAAAAAGTGACCAGCTCTTCAAGATAGAGTGGCAAAATAGTGAAACTGGGCGACAATTTGAATGATAAGTGTATTCCAATGCACAAATAGGTACAGATATTTGATGTTTGTGCGTGCACAGATATTAAATGTTTGTGTCTGTCTATTTGTGCTTTAGTGTACATTTGGTACTTCCCGTCCGGGAATATTCTTCCCGTGTTAACTTGGTACGCTTATTAAGGAGTAGTAAAAAAATGCCAAATTTCCAAAAATGCACATACTATAAACTTTTGAATCTCCTTTTCTTATTAAAAAACAATAAAAAAAGTAGATTAGAGATAAAATTGAAAGGTATTATTGAAATTTATCCTTAAAAAATATACTAAAAAGGAAATGGGAAGAATATTTCCGGACAGACCAAACAAGAAAGTGAGAAGAATATTTCCGGACGGAGAGAATATATCCCAAATGAGATCTCCCTAACACTTTCCTTTAATTTTTTGTATACTTTGTATAATTTTGAGGGTCTAAAGTATTTTTGTCACATAGGGCTTCATATATATAAGGCTGAACCAGAATTCTGATAATATATTATGAAAAAATATATTTAATTATAATGTAAATTTAATTATTGTAATTTGATATTAAATTAGTATCTGCTTTTTTTGTCTCATACTCCATCCGTCTTGAAATAGATTACAATATTTCCTCACATTTTTGTCACAAAAAAAATTACAAAGTCAATAACTTTATACTGATTTGACTCTTTTACTCTTCCCTTTTCTTTTCTGCCAGCCAGTATTACACTATTTGGGAGGATTTGGGGGGTAATTTGGGGAAAAAAATTTGATTTGATTCTTCCTTAATTTCAACTAAAAAGGAATATTGTAATCTAAAGTGGGATGGAGGGAGTATCTTTCTTCATTTTTTTCCTTTTTCTGTCACTTTATTTCTTTTTTCCTCTTACCTTATTTGACAAATAAATAACACTAAATTAACTTTTTTGCCTTCATACTACTATTCATCTTATCTCTATCAGATCAATGACAGAATTATAAAATAAATTACTTTTGCATCTTACATTAAGATTAGTGTCAAGTAAAATTGGATATATTCATAAGAAAGCTGGGTTAGAATAGTTTGAGTTTTTTTTCACTTGAAGCTTGGTTTGTTGTATGTAATGTTTGGATTCTGTCTGTTGTGTTTTAAACTTATTTGCATTCCGTTCTAAAAATGATGTGATTTTGAAATATTAGTTTTTTTAACATTTATTTATTTAAAATAAAAATGACTGCCCAGAGTATTTATTATTGGTCAAAGTGTGTAATAGTTTGACAAAAAAGGTCAAATTAAAAAAATTTTTAAACACGAAGTAGAGTATATATCACTCTGATTTTGGAAATTAAACAATTTTTTATTTTATTTGGAGTGGTTTTTATTTTTTACAAAAAATAAAAGGACTGATAAAAAGATAAAAAATGTGAGGTTTTTGGGTGCGGTAATTCTCAAAATAGTACTCAATAACAATATGTTTTATCAAATTAGTCTCTTAGATAAATTAATTACTGAGATGGTACTCGTTAATTAAAAATAATGTCTAATTTAGTCCCTCCATTAAGCACCATAAAATGAAGTCAAAATGACATTAAATCTTATACGGAGTACTTATTTTCCAATATGATCATTTTTAATCAATTTTTTTTTAAATTGGTCAATTTTTGAAAAAAATTCTCATAGAAGTCTTTCGGCTTCGCTCAAACACCGTGAATCAATTAAAAGAGAAGAAACATGCTTCGTGTTTTCATATTAAATGTGTTTTATATCGAAAATTAACCAATTTGAAAAAACATCCAAATTATATATTATGAATTTGGAAAAACTAATACTCCATTCGTCCCCCTGTATTTGTCCACTTTCATTTTTACACACCATCCAATGCACTTCTTTAATCCATTTTATCTTGTAATTTGTATATTAAAAAATTATAAAAATTATATATTAATAATCTATATGTTAAGACAAATCAAACAAGACCACACATGACTATATTTAGGCTTACACATTGAGAGAACTTGATGAGTCAAAGTGCTTAGATGAATAATTCCAAAAGTCAAATGTGGATAAATACAGGGGGACGGAGGGAGTATAAGTTTTAATGTCGTGACACACTGACACTCTTTTGACGACTGTTAATCAGGGGAACTAAATTGAAAATTATTTTTAATTAGCGAATATCAACTTAATAATTAATTTATTGTGAAGAGTAACTTGAGAAAATACATATAATTATCGAGTACTATTTCAAGAATTTACTCTCTTTCAATGTAAAGAAAATAAACAGGTGGGCTCAATTTCCTCGAGTAAAATTGGGCCGAATTTAGGCCTAACTTGTAACTGCAGTCTCTGAGTGTTTCAGGAGTTGCACTCTTTGTTTTCTTTTTCTTATTCGCCGCTGATTCCATCTTCCCAGTCGCGGTTCTTCTTCGTCGACGACCCGGAGGCAAACGGTCTTTCTTCTTCTCCCATCCGTTGATTGTTCTTCCCCTCCTCAACTCCGGCTACAGGTATGACTTAGTTTGTTCTTTTTTTTTGCAATTTTTAGAAATCTGCTGTTTGAGTTCACCCAGGCGCTTTTCCGGCTGGTTTTCTGCAATTCCGGGCACTTCCGGCGACTTTCCGGTCTCGCACACCTCCCAGAAGCCTCGTCCTGCCTCCACAACCTTGGTGGAGCCTTCAATTGCTTCGATTGGAGCCCATTCTCAGAATCCCCAATTCTCACCCAATTCTACCTCGTACATTACATTAACACTATGTTTGGTTTAAGGAATTCAAAAGAGAAAAGAAAAGAAAATGAAGTGGAAAACAAGTTTTCTTGTTTGGTTAGAAAGGAAAAGTAGAAGGAAAAGAGAATGAGAAGGCAAAATGTACCAAGTAGAGGAAAAACCAAATTCCTCCCATTTTGGCGAGGAAAATGAGGGAAAACCATTTTCTTTTCTTTTCCTTCAAAATTCCTTGAACCAAACATAGTGTAAGAATTCTGCATTTTAGTCGGGGTTTTTTTATTTCTAGGTCCAGTAAAAGAAAGTTTTATGAAGAGAAACTGGATTGCTATAGTGAAAAAAGTGAACAATTTTAGTTCAATTTGTAGTTGGATCATGAGATGTTTTCACCCTTCCATATTTTGGGTGGGGATAAATTTTAGTAAAGAGCTAGCATTTTTTTATTGAGATCCATGAACTAACATTTCTCCAGTCACTTTAAAAATGATTTTTTCAGCTTGATATACACATATTTACATTCTTTTGATGGTATTTTTCTTTTTGTATTTTAGAAAAGTTTCTCGTAAGTATGCATATATTTTGTGTATCGTTTGCCTTTGTATCTTACTTTTGTTGGCATCTCAAAATATGTTAAATCTTGTACGACTCTCTATATTCAAACACCACACAATTGTTGGAATCCTTATAACTGCATTTATATTTTTTTTGAGCAGGCCTGCAAGTTTTGTTTTGCAAAAGCAGGGGTGTAGCTTCAATATGGGAAAATCTAGGCCACGGTAAGTAGACTAATTCTAATTGTATTGTTTATCATCATTCCTTGTCATTTATGTGAATTGCTTTCAAGTGTTGCTGCTTCAATGCGATTGTGGTTGCCTTTTTCCGTTCTAAATCTATTGTGGAATGTGGTTCATCCGGTATTGGACTTGCATGCAAACATCACATGCGACAGATTAATACTACATATTTTTATAAACAAAATAAATTGGATAATGACATTTTGTTGTTCTTTTGCCTCAGTGAAGAAGCATCCGCGCGAGCTAATCACAAGTTTGAGAAGAAAGTACAGTTTTATACAAGTAAGTGGATGCAGTTAGGCAATTTTTTGAAATAATATTTTCCGGTGGTTGAACTATTATGATGGTTTTATGTATGTGAAGAGGTCAAGGATACGGTTGCCTCGTTGAGTGCTCAGAAGTCCATCACTAAGGTATGCCTTATTCACCCATCCCCTTTCCATTCTTGATGTCGCCTTAAAAGGTGTTGCAAGTGAAGATTTATCTGTATATATTTTCTACTCCCAAAAATCTTTCATTCTGCAAAAGAATGCACTTTCCACACACACACAAAAATTTGTGTTTGATCCCCGGATGACCTCAATGTCACAAACTTCTTTCAAAAGGAATATTGAAATGGAATTTGAAACTGTCATTATCATATTGTAATATTCCATTTATATGAATAATATCACGAGACAAATATGTTCTGAGATATTCTCAATGTTCTAGTTTATCATGTTGTCTTTTTGGTTTTTTCTTGTCATTTCCATTTATAGAAAGCATTATGTAGATTTCTACCGTATTCTATTAGGATCCCGATTAGCAAAGTTGTGTCTTTTTCCTTTCATGAAAGCTAAAGTTTATTCTTTCTTCGACGTCGTGAGCCCCCATCAATAAATGTTCCATGTCATATTTACTAAAACGATGTTTCCCGTGATTGCTCTCTACTTCTAAGTAGGGGTAAGATCTGCGTACACACACACCCTCCTCAGACTTTACTTATTGTGTGATTTTATTGGGTTTGTTCCTGATGTTTATCGTGATTACCAGAAGACCAAGGCGCAACGGAGGAAAAAGAAATTACAGGCATACGATCTTTCTCGTCTTTCAGAGTCCTTGCCTGAGTTGAATGCTCTTCATCAACCAAAAAAACCAACAGAACTTAAATTAAACAGCAAAAACAGACAAAAGCTAGTGTGAGGAATTATTCAACCAAATCTCTTTCTTTGGCTTTATCATTCACATTTTATCCTAACATTGTGAAAATCAAATGTTATATCATCAGGCTAAAGGAGAGCAAGCAGTTGCAGGCTGTCACTAATCATCCCGCTTTCCAGTCAAATCCACTCGAAGCCATTTTCCAACATTTGCAGAGCACGCTTCCCCCAGACGAATGGGTCCATGGGTCCTTTGTGTTAGTAGTATTCATTTTTGGCAGTTTTTTTGGGTATTGAATATTTTATTAAGCATACTTATTTCAACTTTTTTTTGATAACTAAATATACATCTTAATCTTAGGGTCAGAAAAATTTTGTTAAGTTGTTAAGTTGACTTTAGGGTCAAAAAATTTATGACTTCAAAATCAACTAAACTTGCATCTTGTAATTGACGTGGGTCAGTGTGGGAGATGGGTTGGGGTTTATCAAAGGGGTTAGTGGGGCATAAAATATCAATTTTATGAGCGGATCACCGTAGATCTTTTAATTGAGTCGGTGTTCTCCAGAGCCACTCACTTACGTAATTAATGTGAAGAATGTAATGAAAATGCAATGACATTGTGCTCAGTCAGAATAATACCTGGACTGCTTTCGATTCACCTCCAGAGAAAGTTTAGGTTGCGTATCATAATGATAAGAGTGGACTACCTAGCAATCAGAGCATTTAGGAAAAAACTAGAGATATCTGTCCGGTCTTATGTCCTCCTTCTAAGTTTAAAAAAAAGTGGGAGGTATCTATGAGGGACGGAGAAAGTATAAAAAAAACTCTCAGTTGTGAAAGGTTATTTGTAAAGTTTTTTCTCTTATACTCCGTATTATGCAATCAGAGCATTTAGGAAAAAACTAGAGATGTCTGTCTGGTCTTATGTCCTCCTTCTAAGTTTAAAAAAAAAGTGGGAGGTATTTATGAGGGATGGAGAAAGTATAAAAAAACTCTCAGTTGTGAAAGGTTATTTGTATAATTTTTTGTCTTATACTCCGTATTATAAAATCACGAAGATAAAAAAAATTAAATAAAAAAGTAACTTTTGAGATAGGCTTAAAAAAAACTTTGACTCAGGAGTTAGGATAAGGATAAATAGACGCGTAACTTTTCTTAAAAACGCGTTCTTTATAGAGAGAAATACCAGTAAAAACTATTGGCTTTTTACCGCAAATGTCCTCCCCTATTAATTACGGTACGGCACTACGGCCAAAACAAAAGACAGAAAGTCTCCCAGCGCGGTAATTTTTGAAACTTCAAATAAATGACGTAACTTCCGTAACGGCTTCAAAAAGGTCAAAAAGGCGTTAGAATACCTAAACCCGTCCGGTGCGATTTTTTCGGTGATTCGTCAGTACACGTCGCCACGTATCCCCCCATGCCAGCTGTACTCCCCCTTCCTAACCGCCTCCTCCCCCACGCCTCTATTTAACTGTGTGTGAAACGCTCCGTTTCTGTTCGCAGTCGCGGCTATGGTGGCGGAATCCGATCGGGTCAGAGGTCCGTGGAGCGCGGAGGAGGACGAGTCGCTGAGGAAGCTGGTGGCGCTTCACGGCGCTCGGAATTGGGCGTCGATTAGCCAGTCGATTCCTGGACGGTCCGGGAAGTCGTGCCGCCTGCGGTGGCACAACCAGCTGTCGCCGGCGGTGGAGCACCGGCCATTCACGGCGGAGGAGGACGCGGTTATCGTCCAGGCCCATGCGGATTTCGGGAACAAGTGGTCCGCCATCGCGAAATTGCTCAACGGACGGACGGATAACGCCGTGAAAAACCACTGGAACTCGTCGCTGAAGAGAAAGCTTGCCTGTTGCGGCGGAGGAGGGCAGCGGCCGGGTCAGATTCTGAGGCGGCAGGGAAGTGCTGACGTCGCGTCGATTGTGAGTCCCGACCGCTCCTCGGAATCCGGCATCAGCTATTCCCCGGCGTTGGAACCAGTCTCGACGCAGGCCGATCCGTTGACTGCGTTGACTCTTTCGTTTCCGGCACAAAGAGCGAATCCGGAAGCTTTGAGGCCACGGGATCTTCCGAATCGCCGCCATGGCAATTGGATTGAGGGGACGGAGTTGGAGAACGCCCCGCCATTGAATCCGGAATTACATTCACTGATGCAAGAAATGATTAGGAAGGAGGTAGAGAAGTATTTTTTGAACTGGAATTTATCTCATCAATGAAAAATGCCTGTTTGTTGTTTGTTAAGGAATATTATTAACTTATTGTTTTTATTTAATCTTTTCCTCCTCTTCTTCTTCTTCTTTTTTCCATAAACATTGTATGAATCATTCATTATCGAAAAATTAGCACTCATAACTTGTCGTCAAATAGAAACACTACATTGACTACAGTACAAGAAAATAGAAAATATACTCCGTCAACAGATTTTGATGCTATCAATTGCAAGTTTGATAGGAGGAAATTGACCTTTTCTGGAATTATTTGCAAACATACATTTGCAATGACATTTCTTTTTTAGAATGTTTGCAACAACTCATTCAATAAAAATCGACTCAAGAGTAAAGAAATGAACAACCATTCACTTGGGTTATTGATATCACTTATCGAAGAAAATAAGATTTGGAGATATCAGATACTTTTTCTATCTTAGAATTGTCGTCATACTTCGATCAGCATATGTTGGGAAAGCTTAGCTCAATTTTACTTGTTAAATTCAGTTTTTCAATTTGTTAAGTTTGTTATTTCTGTTAGTGACGTGGCTTTCTTTCCTCTCTTGTATAAATACTGTGTGTGGACTTAATTCCAAGACAAGTTTTCTTCTCTGCAAATTCGATAATCAATAAAGACTGTTTTTCTTATTTTCCTTCGTTCTTCATTCTTCATCGCCATTTCTGTATCAAATTGTTCAAGGAATTCATCATATCTAAGAATTCCAACATGGTATCAGAGCAGGATTAAGATCGATTCTGCGTCCAGTCATCATCTTTGAGGAATCCTTCAACTCATTTGATTTCATCTTCAATGGCAGAAGAAAATTCTGGAAGAATTCATCCTTCTGATCCTCTGTATCTCCATCCATCTGATCATCCAGGTTTAATCCTGATTTCGACTAAGTTTGAAGGTGAAGGTTTTGGATCTTGGCAGAAATCCATTAAAATTGCCTTATCTGCCAAGAACAAACTCGATTTTGTCTATGGAAGGATTGAGAAACCTAATAATGATCCTGCGAGACTCAGTGCCTGGCAACGATGCAATGATATGGTGACTTCATGGATTTTGAATGTCCTAAGCAAGGCAATTGGTGACAGTGTTCTATACGCAGACACAGTTGTGGATCTCTGGAACGAACTTGAAGATCGATTTGGACAATCAAATGGAACTCGTCTGTATCAGCTTCAGAAGAATGTCTGTTCAATTGCACAAGGGAATTCAGACATAGCTTCCTATTATACTAAATTGAAGTTCTGTTGGGATGAATTAGGAATGGTGTCCAATCTGCCGAGATGCACATGTGGAGCAGCTCAAGCTATGGTCAAACATGAACAAGATCAGAAACTAATCCAATTTCTGATGGGCCTAAATTCAGAATACAACACTATCAGGGGAAATATTCTGGTTATGAGGCCTCTCCCATCTGTTGCAGTTGCATATGGGATGCTAATTCAGGAGGAAAAACAGAGGGAAATTCAAGCTGCATCACCTTTAATGCCTGAACATACATCAATGAATGTGAGTAC